GTATTATAATTATTTTGTTTTCGTTTAATATAATAAGTTATTTTAATTTTTTTTAGTTTAATTTCATAAAATTTAATTTATTATATTTTAATTTATCTTCTAAATTTAGTTTAATTCATCCATATGTAATATCCATATATATTAACTGGTTCTAGAACTAACAATTAACCTTGAGTGGTTTGCATGTATTTTTTGCTCCCATGAGGTCACAGGTTCAATCCTTAGGATCAGCGGATTTTTTTTTTCCAATTTCTCGCGATATATTCAATATATCGTGATAAATTCAAGTTACCACGATATATGCACGATATCCGATTGCTGACTCGGATACACCTGGTCGCCACGTCAGATTTCCATTAACGGCCGCTAAAAGCATGTACCATTTTGCTAAAAATGTAAAGGTCATGTATTTATTTGCCAAGGTCTAAAATTCATGATTAAATTGCCAAACACATAAAGGTCGTGTTAATTCCCGCCATTTTGCCTATTTGTTTTTTGCCGGAACGATAGAGGAACTATTATAAACCAAGCGCACAAGTGCGAATAAAAATATAAAGCTCCCAACGGGAGAATAAAAAAACAACCTAAAACTGAAAACTGGGAGGACAGGTCAGACGATCGCCTACTTGACTCTAGCAACGCTAAAAACCAAAAACTAGACTCACAAGACAACTACGACAACAAAACACAAATAAAAACTACAGAACTCAGAATCGAGACGGGAGCTGCTCCCCACAGGAGAATAAATTTGCTCCCTCTCACACTGAGGCCAACGGCCCAAACCAAAAAAAAAAAACAAAACAATAAACACTCAGGTAAAATACCCAGACCCAAAACACAACCTAACACAGACTCAAGCGAAACAAATGAAACTAAGAGACAAATAATTCCTTCCATAACAAAACGAACAGACCAAGCCAGCAGAGAACAGTCATTGACGAAGAAGAAGCCAAGTCCAAGGAGCCACTTCGAAACTGCCATAAGGACTATACGAAAGCCGAACCCGAACACGAACTAATCTCCGAAAAATGACCCGACACCAACCGGAGGAACAAAACAGAAACAGCCCGCACACCAGTCCCAACCAAGCCCGACTAACACCACTAGTTTAGCTCGAGAGGGAACACTCCCCCGCCGCCTAACACCACTAGCCAAACGGAGAAGGGTG